AATCTGATGGCATCACCAGTATACGTGTGTGTCACTGATTGAAATGTTGTTACATGGTACATGGATGAATATTAGCGAGACATTCTTCATTTTTTAGCATTAACTCTTCAAATCTGGTGTGTATTTTTACATATAGGGCACATCCCAATTTTGACTAGCCACATTTCAAGGGCTCCAATTTGTTCCAGGTGGTTAATGGCTACCATATTTACAGCATTTTGTAAGAATGATTACAGAAGACTGGGTCCCCAAGCCTCATACAACACAACCACACTATAAAACTGCTTTCCTAACCACAGCTGAATTCTTTGGGAGGATTAAGGCTGCTCCAACACCAAGCCCTGATCCCTTGACCCCAGCAGGCTGCACAAGGTCAATGCTGGACCACACCTGGCCAAAAACAAAACCAAAAACCAAAAAGAAACTGAACAGGTCTTTGCTTCTTGTTTGACTTTTTTATTGTTGTTTTAAATAAGTAGGAATGAGCAAAAAAGTGGCCAAGGCTTCTACGAGATGTAGGAGTCACAGCATGCTGACCACCATGCTTCATCCCCATGWGAGAGGATGCTGGGTGTCAGTGGGCATCATAGAAATAAAGGGGCAGAGTTAAGTAGAGACATACAACAGAGAGAGTGGCCTGCGCTTGGTCCAGCCTTACACCCTTGTCCCCACAGTGACGTGGAAGCCTTAGGCCCTCCAGATCCTCAGGTGCATATCCTCAGATACAGCCAACCTCCAATAAAAAATATTCTGAGTTTGGGGATAAAGCTCAGTTGGTAGAGGGCTTGCCTCGCATGSATAAGGCCCTGGGTTCAATCTGCAGCACCACACACACACAAAAAAAATGCATCTATACTGAACATGCACAGACTTTTCCTTGTCATTATTCTCTAAACAGTATAGTATAACATCTATTTTCATAACATTTATATTRTATTAAGTGTTACAAATAATCTAGAGATGAGTTAGAGTTTATAGGAAGATATGAATAGGTTATATGCAAATTCTACACCATGACATACTAGGGCACTTGATCATTCTTGGATGTTGTTGTCTGTGGGGAGTTCTGGAACAAATCCCCTAGGAGTAGCAAGGATGACTAGATTTCTCTCAGCTGGAGCAAGCTCAAGCCACTGTTTCGTAGTATGCAACCCAGTTAGCCCTGGTACATAGACCTGGGTCTTYTAAATGGCCAGGATGGGGTGAATCAGAGTACTCTAGGTGCTTGAGTACAGTGAGAATGATATACACCCCCATTCCCCATCCTGCTGATCTTGTTGTCCATGCTTTGTTCTGCCACTGCTCCCACAGTTCAGCCGGTATTGAAGTTGAGTATTTTTGGTGGACTTCTTTCACTTTTCCTATTTTGATCCATTAAAACCATATGTATCCATTTACTGTAAAGCAAATGGAATAAGTATGATGTCCACCATGGAGTCCAGGCAGTGGTACGTGAGTGTTTTCTGTATGATTCCATATCTCTATCTGCTTGTAAGTTTTTGCAGTAAACTTTTAGGGGAAGGAAATCTACTTATTTTCTGACCTCACCATTTCCTCATTTTCTCTTCTCTTCTCTAGATTTTTAGTTYTCATCATCTACCCACCAATGTAAGGGGAAAGGAGATTGTCAGAGCAAAAGGGGATAAAGGAGTAGGCATGGTCCAATTCCTTCTGCTACTCCTTCCCTCAAGTCTTGTCATTCTCTAGAATCACAACATGAGATCCCAGGAATATGGAGAATAGAAATCCTCTAACATGAACCGTGCTTTCCTCTGACATTTTCCCTGTGAAACAAGTTTCCAAAACACGAACCTCCTGATGTCAGAAGTGGCCAACATCTCGCTATCCTGATGAAACACTCCTGCATATCAGGATTTATTATTTTTTTCATGCTTTTTATAAAAAWTATTTCAATGTATTCCAGAAGTAGTTCTAATGATCTATTATTGATAGAATATATGCATTCATTTAAAAATCTAAAATGTGATATTAGGTGAAAGATAATAAAAACAAAATAAATGGAAATGAGGTTGAGTCCTYGATAATAGAATAATAAAATTATGTGACAAACACTTTAAGTCAATTTACTCCTCATGGCAACTAAGGTATTACCTTCCTCTCAAAGTCAAGAAAGCAGGAGCTTAGGATGGTTCCATGGTTTCTCTGAGATCTCACAGCTGGAATGTGGGAGAACCAAGTTTCCACATCAGGCTGCTCTGACCAACACCAAACTTCTCTATTCCACCAGGCTTCTGCTCCCAGAAGAACAGGGGGACATGGGTATTCATCAAAAACTCTGAGCCCACCAGGTAGCTAGTAACTTTTCTTTTTTTTAAATGTTATTTATTTATTTAGTTAGTTAGTTTTAGGTGGACACTATATCTGTATTTTTTATTTTTATTGGTGCTAAAGATTGAACCCAGTGCTTCATGCATGGTAGGCTCTACCACTGAGCCACAACCCTAGCCCCAGCCAGTAACTTTTCTTAGCACTAGGGTCAGAGAGCTGCAAACAACAAAATAGCAGATAATTCCTGCCATCCTGGGGTTCAGTCACAGGGAGACAAACATTAAATAAGCAAATGTATGCAATGGTATAAGAGYCAAGAGGGAAAATAAGGCAGGATAMGGAGGGCGGATGGAAGCTAAGGGGCACTTTGAATACAATGATCAAGGATGACACCTCTGATAATGCACCTTCCTGGTAGAGGCAATCGTCAACACAAACATGCTGCTGCAAGAGTGTGACTGGCATGTGTAAGGGACAGTTGTCCTAGTCACTAGGAAATTGTGGTCAAAGCTATGGAAGAAAATGACAGTGTTTGAGAAGAAATGGGGTCAGGTCTTTGAGAACACCTCAGTGACTCTGAGTGAATGGAGAGAGCCCTAGAGAGTTTTAAGCAGAGAAGTGACATGTCATGAMGTGACTTTTGTGCTAAAAGGACCACTCTGACTTCTGCCGAAAACAGAAGATAGAGCATAGAGAGGAAAGCAGAGTTTAGGAAAGCCAGGACAAGAAAAGGTRGATGGATGGCAGGTCACAATTGGTATAAAGAGGTTGCAGCTGACATGTATTTTTAAGCAGAAGTGATGGCATTTCACTGATCCATCATGGGACACTAGAGAAGATCATGTGTGTGAGCAATCAAAAGGATGGTGTTGCTGTTAACTCAAAAGGGAAGATTTGAAGGAGATTTGAGGGATGGGGGAGATGGAATAAAAGGAATCAAGATTCAATTTTGAGCCCAGCATGGTGGCCTACGCCTATAATCCCAGTGGCTCCAGAGGCTGAGACAGCAGGATCATGAGTTCAAAGCCAGCCTCAGCAAAAGTGAGGCACTAAGCAACTCGGTGAGACCCTGTCTCTAAATAAAATACAAAATAGGACTGGAKATGTGGCTCAGTGGTCGAGTGCCCCTGAGTTCAATCCCTGGTAACCCCCCCTCAAAAAAAAAAAAAGATGCAATTTTGGACATGTTATCCCAGAGGCAACATTTAGATTTCCAAGAGGCAATGTCACAGAGGCTATAATAGGGGTCCTGGCTGGAGATGGAAATTTGGATGTCATCCACATACAGTGTTAAAAGCCAAAATAACACTCACTGTCACCTAGAAAAATAGTTCTCCATAGGGATAATGCTGTCCTGGGAAATGTTGGAAATATGAGGTACATTTTTGCATGTCACCATGATGGAGATGCTACTGATAATGGGTGACAGGATGGGAAATCTAGATGTCCTACAATGCATGTGACAAGTTGGCAAAATTTATTTCCCTACCACCCATGCAATTTTCACAGATTCTGTGACATCCACATAGGTGTAACACCTTTTTCTTATCATTCAGTCCTAACATCTACCTTCATTTTATAAATAAAGGCAATGTACTTGTTGCACAATCCTTAAGACATGCTGAACTTTCTTTTTTTTTTTTCCTTTTTGTAGCACTTGGGGTTGAACCTAGGGGTGCTCTGCCACTGAGTTACATTCCCAGCCCTTTTTACTTATTTTTAGGTTGAGACAGGGTCTCACTAGGTTGCTGAGGCTGGTCTTGAACTTGAGATCCTCCCGCCTCAGCCTCTGAGTCACTGGGATTACAGGAGTGTGCCACCACACCCAGTGACACACTGAACTTTCTAAGAATACAACCATCATAATAAAACAAAAGAAGACCGCACTATGTTTGGCTCAGAATTTCACCAAGAGCATTCACTGTTTCAAAACAATCATCTGTCATTGACACACGCCTGAGTCAGACTACATCGTCACTTTCACATCCATGAGCTCTCCGGAGCAGCTTGGTTCTTTTGCACAGTCATGCTCAGGCATTTGCAGATGGAAATACAAGTCATTGAATACTTTTCCTTTTATACGAGAGTCTGGATACTATATTGATTTTGCAAACATCTGCTTGCAGGTAAGTGAAACGGTCTATGAATTTCATCTCAGAACACCCAAGGAGGTGTCAGGTATGGCGTGTGGAGAATCTCTGATATAGAGAATGAATGCAGCTGAAAAACAGGTGAGTGCAAAGTCTGTACTGTGGACCCATCTAATATTAGAGATGAATGGGGATGAAGAGGAAGGAGAAAATGAGGGAAGAATGTCTCACCTGAGGGAGGACATGATAAACAGTGTTGATTGGCCAAGAGACAGAGAGAGATACAGAGAGAAGAGAGGAGGATAGAGAATGACTGGATTGTCAGGGTTGGGAAGATTATGAGTGATCTTGAACCTCATCCAGGGACACGATGGGGCAAAACTGCCTAGAGTCCACATCATTCAGGGCAGAAGACCCTATTTTTGTGTTAAACATCTCTTAGATTTCCTTTCTCATCCCCATACCACCCCAGCTCTAGGGTGCTCCATACTCTGGGGCTCTTCCTTAGGAGCCTGTTTCCCAGTCCTGAAAGCTCACTGGTTTGCCAACTACCCTCTTCAATCCTCCCAATCTGGGCATCAAGAATCACCACAGCCCCGTCCTGGGCATCTTAGTCTCTACCTTGCTGAGCCGGGACTCAAAAGCCAAGGAGGTTGAAGATTTAGAACTCCTCATGCCAGAAGAAGCTGTAGGAAGGGGCCGTGCACGTTCGGGGCCATGGCTCCCGGCTTTGACGACAGGACTCCAGGGCTTGGCTGCGCTCCTCATGTTTGTCCTAGGGCAGGGGACTGTCTTTCTGTAGAAGAGCAGAAAAGGAAAACATGTATCTCCATAACTTAAACCTGCCAAGTGACGTGGTCAAGCTTTACCCCTCTCAACTGCTGTCACAGAGAATGAGTGCTTAAGAGTTGGCCCGAAACAGAAAACTTATTCCTAAGATGACACCTTTGTATTAGGATAAGTTTTACAACTCTAAAACAGACTTTACCAAATTATTGAAACATGTACTATTTAATGATACTCTGACATTACTTTTTGGCAAATTAATAGCTTGTTATCCATCAGAGACACCTAACACAGTAATGTACCAGGTTTACACACACACACACACACACACAAAAAAAAAAAAAAAAAACAGGGCAGCAAGAATCAAACCAGGAAACAGCCAGAAGATTTGCAGCTTTAGGGCTGGCAGAGGAATAACCAACCTAATTTTTAAATAGACATAAATGAATTACTTGAAAGTTAGATTTCATGGAAGCATAAAATGACTCTTTTTTTCTTCTTTTGGATAAAAATGGCTATCATTTAAAAATTAATAAAGCCTATTTTAATTGGTCAGATTTGACATTACGGGGCAGAGCTGCTGCTCTGACTGAATTATTTTATGAAATAAAAATTGTTCAGGGGYTGGAGTTGTGGCTCAGTAGTAAGAGCACTTGCCTAGCATGTGTGAGGCCCTGGGCTCGATTCTCAGCACCATGTATAAATAAATGAATCAAATAAAGGTCCATCAACATCTAAAAAAATATTTTAAAAGATTGTTCAAAGTAGAAGGATGCTGCTAAAGTTCTTGGGGGACATYCACATGCAGAGAGACTGGGAGGGTGGCCTGGGTCTCTCCACTGGCAATCATTTTTAAAAATCATCCTAATCTGTTATTCCTGAGCCAGAAGTAGCTGGCACACCCCTTTCCCCATCCTCTGTTTCTTCTGTCAGCAATGTAACAGGACTGGATTAAATGCCCTTGAGGGTCTTCTTCAGCTCCAACCCTACCTTTACCCATCCCTGTGAACTCTAATGGCCAASAGTGTGACACAGGGCACCCAAACCTAAGTGCTGCATCCTTTGAAAAAACATCACAAATGCACTTTAGGGCTGGGGTTSTGGCTCAGTGGTAGAGCCTTTGCCTAGCATGTATGAGGCACTGGGTTCGATTCTCAGCACCACATACAAATAAATGAATAAAATAAAGGTCCATCAATGTCTAAAAACAACAACAAAAAATCCACTTTAAAAAAAAACTCACATTGGGCTGGAGATGTGGCTCAAGCGGTAGCACGCTCGCCTGGCATGCGTGCGGCCCGGGTTCGATCCCCAGCACCACATACAAATAAAGATGTTATGTCCACCGAAAACTAAAAAATAAATATTAAAAAATTCTCTCTCTCTCTCTCTCTCTCTCTCTCTCTCTCTTTAAAAAACAAACAAGCAAACAAACAAAACACTTACATATGGGGCTGGGGTTGTGGCTCAGCTGTAGAGCGCTTGCCTAGCCCGTGTGGGGCCCTGGGTTCGATTCTCAGCACCGCATATGAATGGATAAATAAAATAAAGGTATTGTTTCCAACTACAATTAAAAAATAAATATTTAAAAAAATATATTTACATGGAGCTGGGAGCTGGGCCCTGTGGTACATGCCTACTATAATCTCAGCAGCTCAAGAGGCTGAGGCAGGAGATCACAAGTTCAAAGCYAGCCTCAAAAACTTATCAAGGATCTAAACAACTCAGCATGACCCTGTTACTAAATAAAGTATTAAAAAGGGCTGGGAATGTGGCTTGGTAGTTAAGGGCCCCTGTTCCAAGGGGAAAAAAAGAAAAAAAAATACTCAYAGGCTGGGGATAGAGCTCAGTGGTAGAGCACTTGTCTAGCTGGGCAAGGCCACCTTATGCTCCTGTCTCCTTTCTTGGTTGGAAGTGAACATTTCAACTGACAATACCTCTCTCCTCCAGAGTCATTATTTCTTCCTATTTAAACAAAGGGATTAGCTGGGGACATGGGTCCAATTGTCAGCCTGTGAATGCCACCGCTGGTGAAAATGTTCTTTTTTTTAAAAAATGGGTTCTTTTTAGTTTTACATGACAGTAGAATACATTTTGACATAATTACACAAGCCTGGAATATATTTTGTTCTAATAGTAAAGACTTTGTCATTTGCTTTCCATAATGTTTCTGAGAAAAACTACACRTGATTTCAGTGATATGATGAGCTCAGAACCTTATGAACCTCAGCCTGGTTCCAGGTATCATGATTWAAAAAAAAAAAAAATCTCGTATAAGAAAAGCAGCATGCTGCTCCTGTATTTTACTGATGTTCAGCAATGATTATTTTTATTTCTCAACCCACAATTTTTGTTGCTGGTTTCCACRGCAACAGCAAAAGAATGTCTAGGTTAAGACCTGTTCAGTAACTAATTTCATTAGGACTCCCTCCCGAGATAAAATAAACTAACAGAGCCTTAATGATTCATGAAGAAAATTAGTAATGAGTACAGATCCCAACAGCAACCCATCAGTCTGACTTGGGGAGATGGTTTAAATAAAATATCTGCTTCATCAATCAACACCACCATTTATGGGTGATAAGAACTACTTACAAATGACTATGACTTTAGGAACGCATAAGGCGATTTTGCAAGGCATCTAAGTGTTCCAAAATCTGCCCAGGTAACCCCTGAAACTCTCCCCTAAGAGCTTAAAAAATATGAAGATTTAAAAACAGCAATGGGGGGCTGAGGATGTGGCTCAAGTGGTAGCGTGCTCGCCTGGCATGCATGAGTCACTGGATTCAATTCTCAGCACCACATAAAAATAAAAAATAAAAATGTTGTGTCCACCTAAAACTGAAAAATAAATATTAAAAAAAAACCCACAGCAATGGGCTGGGGTTGGTGTTGTGGCTCAGCAGTAGAGCGCTCACCTTGCACGTGCAAGATCCTGGGTTTGATCTTCAGCACCACATGAAAATAAATAAGTGAAATAAAGGTATTGTGTCCAACTACAACTAAAAAAAAAAGCAAGAAAAGGGACAGGACATTATCTTTGCAGTCTTTCCCCCAACATTTCAGGAATCCAAGTATAAAACAAGGAAGGAAGGAAAAGGAAGAGAGGGAAGGAAGAAAGGAGAGGAGGGAGGCAGGCAGGTCATGTCAAAATTTGAAGATCTTAACTCCTCTCTTAATCTCTGGCATCAGATCTCATGAACCCCTGGATGGTGCATCCAAAAATGCTCAATCATTTTTCCAAGTCTGACAAGTTGCTTGCTCTGAAGTRAAGCTCTGCAGGTTATTTCATTGGTCATATCCCTCCTTTCTTTACCATCCCCTTGAATTCAGCTCTTATTCCCAAATGAATGTCCCCAATGAACTCTTGTCATCTGGACCCCTCCTATTTCCCACACTATTTTCTGAGTATCCTTCATTCCATTCTACCAGCATTTTTTTTCCTTGAATTCAGCCTTGTGTTCATACATCAGCTAGATTCTTTCCTTCCAATCCCATTTTGTTTCATAATTGATAATGTGAGATAATGAATCATCAATGTCCTACTCACTGTAACCAGGAAGAAATGCCCACAAGAAGAGAAAATGCCCAGGATGGGATGCCTGGGAGTGGCCTCATGACACCTGCTATGGAGAGGTGATAGACTATGCAGGTCGGTGCAGACAAGAGGATGGGAATTGGTGTGTGAGGAARAGAGCTGCTCCCTGTGCTCCATCAGACTGAATGGAAGTCTTGCTTCCTGCTTCCCAGGCTCCATGTCTTAGGATCTTATTAAACATCACCTGTTGTCTACCCCAGCTCCGACCAGTGTCCTTGTGATGCCACTGAAATATTCTAGAGGCTTCTCTCTTTCCCCTGATGTACCCACCCCCAGTCCTGGGATTTTCTGGAACACAGAGCTATGACCTCTGAGCTGTCTGCCTGCACAGCATGKACCATGTTAACCCAGCTCTCTGTCCCCCTGCAGCAATGCCTTCAGCCCTAAAGGAACATTGATACCTCTTAGCCCTCCCCTGGTTGACTCCAGGTTTCCATCCAATCCACTTCCCATTGCTCCTACTACTCTTTTCTCAGATACCACCCTTAGGCCTGGCTCTGCAGCACAGGGAACCAGTTGATCACATAAATGGTGCAGTGACAGACGAGTCAAGATTCAAACCTAGTTTACATTGGCTCCAAAACCTGAGTGCTTAAACACCAGGATGGGTATGGCCTCTCTAGATAATCCCTGTTCACATGGCAAGGCATGAGGGCTTGTGGATCAAAGGCACCTGGAACAGACACAGCTTCAGCTTGATTGTGTGAGCTTGGGCATGCTTTTTGAGCGCTGTGAGTCTCAATATCTTCACCCAGAAAGGAGGAGTTGAATAGTGACTTCACAAAACCGTGATGCCTATAGGAGAAGGTAGGAATCAAATGCCAGGCACATAGAAGACTCTTAGCATATATGAGCTGCTTTCTAGACAAAATTGTTGATTGTTTTAAATGGAGGGCTTCTCTGCTTTCTTAACTCAACAACACACAGTGACAGATCAATTAAATATTGAGGGAAGGAGGCAGACAGACATTCAATGTGAGGAAAATGCTCTTCTTACAGAGCCATCTATTTTCATTTGGAAACGTGAACGGGGGAAAGCAGAGAGGGCAATAAGCACTGAGGGAAGACGCCTTACAGTCATTAGAACTACTGCTAACAAATCTCAGCTGCTGCAAGATAAACACAGGTGGGGATGCTGCCTAAGTAATATTTTCTAATGGATGCAAATTAATAACATGAAATGAATAGATGGTCCCTAGGCAAGTACAAAACAGTGGGGGCAAAAAGTGTTTCTTAAAAACCTCATAGACATCACAAAAAATCAAATCATCCAAGGGAATACTGTTAAATCTGGAAACCCATTCCCCAAAGAGAGTACAAAATGGAGAGAAAGGGGCAGAGAGAGGGTATTCCCAGGGATATATATATATTTTTTAATTTGTCA